GGGGGCAAGGCTGCTGGGGGTGGGGGGAATAATGCACCACACTAAACACACACACACACACACACACACACACACACACACACACACACACACACACACACACACACACACAGGCATGCAACAAGTGTGTGAATAATTACTGAACCACTGCTAGTTGCCATATTATCATTACTGTTATTATCATATTCAAGAACAGGAGAACATTGAAAGTATTTGATATTTTTTTTAATGTGGGTGCATTAGTGCAGCTAGCTGACTGGGTCCCAGTATGAGTTCATTACAGAGACCTTCTTTTATTCTCATTTCCCCCGGTGCTCCACAGGTATTGATTGCTTCTTTCTAAATCTGTGCTACTCCACTTCTCGGCACAATTAGTGGCCTTTGTCCACTTTGTTAAGCCTGTCTTAGATTGAGGTGTGTGCGCTTTTGAATTTCGTTCCTAAAAGCTTTTTCTCATTGTTTCCTCCAGGGAACAGATTTTTAAAACATCCGGACCTGGCCTAATCTCTTATTTTAAGGGCTTCTTTCATTTTAATGAACACTTGAGACGGGTCCCAAAGTTATTTTAACACAACCTTTTCATCTTTGCAATCAACTTACCTCTTTGTGTGTGTTGCAGGCAGCAGTAAAGCCCAGTGTGAAGGCTGCATAGAGTACTGCTGCGATGGGTCTCCACCTTTCTGCTGCTCCTACTACGCGTACGTGGGCGACGTCCTCTCGTAAGTAATCACAGGGACACGGCAAACAAATTAAATGCACAAACTGACGGCTGAAGGAGCCCTATTATGTTCATATTTGTGTTTTTTGCCACGATTTCTCTAATTTTTTGACCCACTGGTCGACTAGCTGCTCGGTTTCTAAATGAGAGGTCACACACCAGCTGTCTTTTAACCTGACCCTTCAGAGCGCTCACCTTTTGACCCCTGCCTGTTAGCCTGGAGTCAGCCCAGCTGCTCAAATGCTTTCACCTCACTCTGCTTCCCTTCACCATGAAGCTGTGTTCAGTTTCCATCATCAGTGCATCTGTGAAAATTGTTTATTTGTGCAAAACCTTAAATGACCCGCGGCAAAGTCTTGTAAACACGGCTGATTCTGACTAACGCTGAATATAATAAAAATGTTAAAGCTTTATTTTGTAGTGTCAATTCAAAGACTCCCCTTCTGTGAACACACACACACACCAGATGCTGTAGTCCGTCTCCATGGCAGCTGCCTCCTCTCTTTTATTTTTTACAGTTTCTCATATATATTTATGTTGCATTGTAGGAGGAGCCTGCATATGACCACAAAGCCTTGAATCTGTGTGTGTGTATGTGTTTGTGTTTGTGTTACAGGGGCACTGCCATCTCTGGGATCGTGTTCGGGGTGGTGTTCCTGATGGGGGCGGTGGCGGCCCTGTTCCTGTGTGTGTGTATGTGCATGAAGAACGGGCGGGGGGCGCGGGTCGGCGTGTTCAGCACCTCCTACATCAACACTGTGACTCAGGGGTACCCAGGTGGGTCTCGCACAAACACAAAAAACACACTTTTTAATAGCATAAATAAGGCAAATATATGTTTTTTTATTTATAATGAATAGCAAATGATCTGGCACTACTAAATAATGGGGTAGTTGTATTGTATTACGGCTTCATATAGTGTGATTAAACACTTATTTGTAGGTGTCCATTTCAGTTCCACCTCCTGTGGTGTCCTCAGGCGCCCTCATTTGAACAGAAAACAGCAGAATGTGTTTTATGTTACAAGATCCACCTTGGCCTTGAGCATAATCCCTGACAAGTAACACAAAGAGAGAGTGGATTCCTTTCAAAATAAAAGCCATTAGACTTGACAATGACCTCTGTTCGAGCACTTTAGACATAGATATTCCCAGAAGCATGAACTTCTTCCCCCTCCGCTCCCACCGTTTCACATCTGATAATCCCTGTTCCCGCTGGAAAGGAGCAAAGCGGCGACAATGTTCCCACACTGTCCTCGCAGGTACATCGGAGTCTGTGCTCTGAATACGCTGCTTTTTTTTCTGGGGCTCATCATTTATTCATCACGCCTTAGTCTCCCCTGTGTATCTCCTTCATGCAACACTGGACTGCACCGGCCCTGCAGCTCTGATCGTGTTCCATAAACAAAGTGCCAAAAACATGCAATATGAATGCATGTGCATGTAGCTACAGTGATATTAATAACCAATATGTCCCAGTAAAGGATGTTAATCAATATTTAAATATGATTTTAATTGATTTAGGTAGTGCTGCTTTTATTATTTACATACACCTTTCCTTTATGTAATGGTGCTTTAAATTGATCAAATATTAATTCTCACGTTGCAAGGTCTCATTCTGGGCTACACAACGGTTTTATAGACCTTTTTTAAAATAAAGGTAACTCTTGCAGCACGTTAGATTGTGAGTTATTCATAATCATGGCGTCATAAATGTAAGGTTTTGCTCATGTCACGCTTTCATCTTTTCTTTTATCTCGGCTGCTGTGATGTTTCAGTGAATAATGTTCCCCTGGTGAGACTGATGCATCATGGTCAACCAAGGGATTTCTTTAGGGGGCATATTTTTACACTTAGTAAAGTTCCTTTTTGTACAGAGTGCAGTTTCTCTGTTTTACCACTAGAGGGTGGCACTTTCCCATCGTTCACCTTTTCAAATGAGTGCAGGTTCCCCCACATACATATAATAGAGGACACATTCTGCTCATTTTCAGGTTCATATTTGTATGTAGTTTCTCTACTGTGACATGTTTCCATGCTTTAATGTTCAAAAAGCTCTATATTGTCCTCATGTGCTGCATCACCTCTCATCACCCTGTAGAACACACTACAGGAAAATCCAAAAAGCATGACAGACTATTTATTTTCTTTATTTCTCTTCCCAAACTCAGGTCCTCCACCTCCATACACCTACGACTACGAGATGTACCCTCCCTCGCTGCACCCGCCACCTTACACCCCGTCTCAGCCGAACTCTGCCAACTACTCCCCTCCTCCTCCGTACCCGGGATGTGCCCGCAAGTGAATCCCTGCTATAGACCCTCTAGCAGTCATCTAAAAGGAACTGATCAATGTCTACACACCTGGATCTCTGGCCTCCAAAGACAATTAAAGAGGCCTGAATGTATTCCACATTTAAAAAGAAAAAGGGGGGGCAGGCCAGGTGTGAATGTCACTGCCTTTCTGCAGGAGTCTAGACCAAATGTTGAGGAAATTAATAATAATTGAACATTCTCATAGAGTTAGCAGGCGTGCTAGCCTGCAGCTAGCACTTCCTAATAACCAATACTCTCATCCTTCCCCGACTGAGCACATCAAAGGCTCCGCGCTGCTTTGATGCAGGTGAAGACCACTTTTGTCAGTATGGAGCAGTACCTTACATCACTGGAGGAATGTCGTTTTTTTAAGGGAGATGCAAATGAAGCTTTATTATATTTTAAGAAAAGTCTTTCCAGGACACAGTGCAGACATGAGAATTGACCTATTTTTAATAAAACTTGATTTATATTGTGACTTAAGAGGAAGCATATGATCACTATTATGTGTAGACTTGAACATAAGGCATTATACTGACTTTAATGGCAACTTGTTGTCAATGAACTGGTTTGTACTGCCTTACTTGAATCAATGTGATGGTGTAAACTGAATTGGGGGTCCCACTATGTTCAATTTGGTAAAGTAATGAAATAAAATTGTGTTTTATTTGAAATGCATTTTGTAGGCTGATTTAAGGTTTGAAAGAGGACCCCACTGTGTAATGGCTGATACATGTGATGGACGACTGTGAAAAATGGAAGGGATTTAGGTTTGATACTAATAATGTATCAGGTAGATGATTTTGTGTTTCTTTATTGTGTTTACTGGCTGTCTTGTACATTGAAGATTTGATTAAAGCGTTTTTAAAGTATAAAACAATGAGATGGTATTTATATGAATGTGAATGCATGTGCGTTGGCTGGGACAATAGATGTTGAAGTGAAAGTGTGTGGGCATGTGCGTCAGAGATGGTGTGTGTGTGTGTGTTAATCCCACTCCGCTGGTCAGGTGACTCGTTGCTGAGCAGCTGTGCAGCCTCGGTATCACCATCAGACAACGGGAGTCACCGGCGCTGCACACACTCTGCTTCTCACGTTAAACGTAAAACCGCTCGGTGAAACGCCGCCTTTAGGAGGTTCGTCTCCGCGAAACGACATGGGGGACCGAGTAGCTTTACTGCTGCTGGCTGTAGCGGCTTCTGCCCTGGCTGCCGAGGTAAGAAAAATACGTTTTTGTGAGGTATTTCCACCATATTGTTGCTGCGTCAAGCTAGCGGGAGTTAGCTTCAATTTAACTGGAAGTCAGTTGACTGTGCCTTCAAAGTAAAAGCTCTGATTGTTTAAGGTGAAATCAAGGGGAGGTATTTTTTACCAATCCAGGATAGTTGAATTTCATCAAATTATGTAACTAAAAGTTTAAGTAGGAGTAGTGGAGACATATATTTTCTCAGAGTACACAACATGACTTGCTTCGTACCACCAAACATTGACTTTGTAGCCCATTAAAAAAGGCAGGTCCTTTGTATTGAAGGTTTCAACCGGAAGTCTTGTGGTAACGTCTATCTAGCTTGTCACTGACTGAATGCTTGGCTATTTCTAAATAAAGACCACACGTTGTTTCATTAAACCACCTAAATATTTATATATTTGTTAGTAATTGTCGTTATATTATTTGTAATGAACTTCCCCAGGAACCCACCACATAACACATAACGTGTATTCTTTTTGCACGGATGCTTTTTCTCAGGCAAAGTCTCCTTTTAAGCCAGTCGATACTGATTTATTGAGGATTTGTAACAATGAATAATATGTCCGTCTCTTCATTTAAACCTGCACCCTTTAAATGTCGATTCAATTTGTGTGAAAACGAGAAGCAAGTTGCTTTTCCCAAATTAAAAATGTTACAAACAAGTTGTCAACAAATTGCATACCTTCATTAATCTGTACAAATTGCTCCTAACGCTGCTATTGATTGTTATTCGGGCTCTTTTAATGTTATTTAAAGTCATTATTAGGAATAAATGAAACGCTTATTGTCTCATTTTCCATATCCCGAGGGCTATTTTTTAAGGGAGTGGGCGTGTTTTAGGGATGGAAATAAGTAAATGAGACGTCTTGTTGCCTCGGAATGAATACTTAATGCCAGATGTTGACTGAAACTAAGTAAATTATCCCGTGAATATGACATTATCCTCGGAAAACAATCTTTCGAATGGCTCTCCCTCATAATTCAGTCAGATGATAGAGAAATAAGATGGCGGCGGTGCACTGCAGCATTTATCGAGGGGTCTGGAAACTGGGAAGCCAACAGCAGCTTTCACTATCATTGTTTCCTTTAATGCCATGTTCTCACCCACCGTGCCGTGTGTGGTGATAATAGACACAAAGGATTTCTCTAATAATGTATTTATAGCGGACATAGTGACACAAAATCACTGCTCTGCCATTTTTCAAGCGTCTTTGCCAAGAATATAGCTTTGTGAATACACCTACCCTGCAAAGAAATACGTTAGAATGTCACTGAAATGTAAAAAAAATGGCAGCTTTTTTAATCAAATCCAGCCCTTTCCGCGCACATGCATTTTTAAAACGTTATGTCATCATTGTCAGTTGTGTAATCTTCTTAATCTTGTGATGCATAAATGCTTAGTTCCCCATTTCAAGATGTTTTTGGAAAATACCCAAAGCATTTAAAGCATTGGGATTTCCCCAACTGAGATTTATTTAACGAGGGGTTTTAACACTTAGGTGAATAGCCTGAATGCACCGTGGCTTTGTTGTGAGAGAAATGACACATTGCTTTAACCACCGGCAGCCACATTGTTACAGATGGGAGCTGCAATTGTGGCCGAGGAGCAGCTGCTGCCTGTGGGATTTCTGGTTGTTACAATTATAGCTTGTATACATGATAAATGAGTTACTTGTAATAGATCAATAGTGCCAAACAATGGCTATTACACTCCATTTAGGCCCCTCGATTTTGCTGTCTTGGCCATTTCTGCTGAGCTTTTTTTTCTTGGGATGAATCAGGTGAAATGTGGCAGACGACCTACGTGTCTCCCGCACGTAGGCTGTAATCAGTGGATATGAAATAGTTTAGGCTGCTCATCAAGCAAAGGGGCGGCTTTGTTCCTAATCCATTGTTTAGCTTACCAGGGCCCCCACATTAAAAAATCAAAGCTACGAGTGATAGATTGCGACAGAGTTGTTAAAAAATTAAGCAACCAAGATGAAATCAGACTTGAAAATGAGATGTTGCAAGTGTTTGATGTTGTTGGGGTTTGTTTAGAGCCCCATTCACACACACAGATCAAGGAAGCTGCTTCTTCCTGACAGGGCCCGCGGTCTGGAGCGTGGGAGTTGGATGCCAGCCTTTGTGTATTTGGGAATCCTTGGGAAATGGCTCTTGGATGGGTGCAGGCGGGCAGTGTGTTTGTGTGCATACTGCAGTCTTTCAGCCCGGGGCGGACCAGCCCTCTCCCCTTATTAGAGAGTTTAATGCCATTATGCCTGTTGGCGCTGCCAGTGTTTCTCTCTGGCACCTTCTCTGCTGCTCACACTGCAGCTTTGATTCTTAAAGGGGCCCTTTAATGCTCATTTTCATGTTTATATTAGTATTGTGTTCCTCTACTGTGACATGCTAAAGAGAAAATCCACCTTGAGCTACATTATCTTCAGTTTTAAATCCACATTTGGCAGAGAAACACCTTCCAGTTGACTTGCTCATAGTTGTCACACGTCAGAAACAGCTGCTGGGATCAGGTCAACTGAGGGAATAATGTGAATAATTTAGCCCCTCAATCTCTGTATTTCTGATTATTGATTGACCTGTTAAGGAAGAAGCTTTTGCTCTGAACAGACTGATAGCAAAACCCAATCTATGAAAGTGTGTTTGTACATTTAGAAGATACGTTTAGCCAACTCATTGATTTGTGTATTGATAGAAAATAAACCGCCCTATTAGGATAATTGATCAATGGCTGGTTTTGTGAGACTTCTATGAAAGTAAAATGAAACCTTTAGATTTTTACGTTGTTTTTGGGACATTTTAAGTTCACATACTTCAACTAAAATGATTATGTTTGTACATTTTAAATCATGAAAAACGGCTGGTTTGAGAAACTAAAATGTGATCATTTGCAAATAGGCACCAGTCAGACCAGTCTGTGGTCATTATCACATGTGTCTCTCCTCAGTAAACAGTGCATGTTGTCATTGGGCAGGACTGGATGTCCTCTTCATAATGACACATGAATGGGGTTTATCTCCAGTGCTCACTATCTTATTTTTATTTATTTTTTTAAAAGTCCTCCATTAGCTGTTTAAAAAAAGTATTTGTCCAAACAGCTCGCATTGTCCATGTTGTCAACAACAGCAATGACACAGCAGCAGCGTTCCCAATTAATGTTCCTCTCCTCTCCCCCCTCTGCTGTCTGTTCCCGGAGAAAAGCATTCCTGACCTTTTGATAGCGTTGTTTCTGTTGTCACGGCCCTGGACACGGGGATGTGCTTGTTGTCTTTTGGGGGCTGTGTGTAACTGATAAATCAGCTGTTTGGGAACATTCAAGATGTTTGACCTGTTCATCTTTGCTCCCTACTTGTACTGTTTTGTCATCCTCACAATCTCTGAGTCTTCTTTGTGTGTTCACAGTGTGTCTTCCTACAGGAAGGTAGCATCGCCCCTTTTTCAAAGCATGGTAGGAATCTGGTCGTGCAGATTTCAGTGGCGCAGCTGAAAGGCCGGCTTTGTTTTGTCCAATGAATGAGAGACTATAATGAAAAAGTTTGGTAAGATCCAACACGTGTCTGACAGCATAAGAAGCTGGCCTTCTATGCTTGTTGACTGAGGAGGAATTTCAGATTTAGGTCGCATAACACGTAAGTCCTAAAACCCAGAAAGGACTTTAGCCCTTCTGCTTCCCCTGTCTTGCAGCAAGCGGTTTTTGAACGTGTTTTTGGTTAGACGCCTGTGCTTAACACAAGCTGAATTCTTTTTAAATCTACGACATCAAATATTGACCCGGAGATGTTGCTGCTTCATCGTCCTCTTTCTTACCGGATCATAATGATCTGTAATAGGTCAAACATGTGCACCTAGCCTTTATTGCAGCGGGAACACGCCATTCTCCCTCCCACATCTCATATTAGAGCAAATCTCGCCATCATTCATCACCACCGGAGCGCTATTTCCATCTGCAAATATCAGCAGTGCGCCACGAAGACACACTCTTGGTTTCGCTGCTGCTGAGTAAGCATCTCTAGGTACGGAATCTGAATAATAAGCCCAGAAAACAAGTCGCCCCGACCTGCGCAATTACTCAGGAGCCGCACCGAGTACACCACACACACACACACACACACACACACACGCACACACACACACAGTATTCATACACACATCTGGAAACCAGCTTCCTGCCATTTCCTGTCAGGTCATCCATTCTTTATCATACATATCCATCATAAGTGTCCCAGTCAAGGCCTACCCTTTTAATAGTCTGACCGAGGCCAATGCAATCAAGGTCTAATCTCAGATCACACGCTATCAGAGTGTGATGGATGAGTTGGTCAAGGTTGGGAGGGTTACTTTTCGAATGTGTTATAATAACTAGTTACCTATTATGTGTTATCTAATCTTAGTTTTGCATATTCAGACAGGAGCCTATCCACCAACAAGGCCAGGTTCAAGGTTCTTTATTGTCAAACTAACTTAGCTACAGAGTAATTATGTCGTTGAAAATCTTAGGTCACAGGCTTCTCCAACAATGCAACACAATAATACAGATAAGCAGACAATATTATAACAATATTAAAGTATATTATATTAAAAGTAATACAATATTTAAAAAAAAAGTGTAATAGTGCAATACGAGT